TCTCAGTAAGGTACAGGGCACCAAGATTAAAATCAGCAATAATTTCATTTATTAGTAGCACCTTAGGAGCCAGTGATCTTACATTCAAAAGTCTAAGTTTTAGCCTTGTATTATACCTATTATCTGATAATGGATTTGGTTTAATTTTTAATAAGTTATTATGACATATACTATGGTGGAATAGACCTCCATGATTAAAAGTGTGGGGAACAGACACAGTCTCAATAACATGAACCCTAGGTGATGACTCTAAGCGACTAGCAAAAGGTCGGTTATGCTGGTTTGCCTGCCGCCTGGACTTGGCTCCGGCTAGTCAGCGATTTGCCTCAAGACTATGAGCTATGCTTTTGGACAGAAGATCAGCACCAGCCCGTGAGTGAATACCGTCCCTGTTCAAAGGTATATCAGGAGGTACCAGATAGTAGGTGGTGATCAGTTGACATCTCAACTCCTCTCTTCACCTGAGTGTCCAAAACATACGGTCACAGATCTGACTATAGAATTACAAAATTCATCATCCAACTGCGACCTTGGGTGCTCTAGTGCCAGGTGCAATTATGAGCACCCTTATGTTCAAACAAGGTGTTCGTTATGGACAAACTGTGGTTAGCACAGAAATCCAATAACTGATCACAGCTCGGATTCTAATCAGGCAGACCATTCCTCAAAATCAAACCCTTTCAAGTTTCACTGTCATTACCCACGTGGGCATTAAATTCCCCCAACAGAACAATGGAGTCTCCAGAAGGGGTGCTTTCCAGCACCCCCTCCAAGGTCTCCAAGAAGTTAGAATACTCAGGACTGGTATTCGCATGTGTGCAGAGACAACAGTCAAAGCCCATCCCCTGACAAAGTTGAAGAGTGGTGACCCTCTCATTCCCCGGGTAAACTCCAACACACTGGCTAGAAATAGACCCACCCCTGCCTGGTGCCTCTCCCCAGGGGCAACTCCAAAGTGGAATAGAGTCCAGCCCCTCTCCAGAAGTTTGGTTCCAGAATCAGAGCCATGCACTGAGGTGAGCCTGACTGTATCTAGTCGGAATCTCTCAATCTTCTGCACCAGCTCAAGCTCCTTTCCTACCAATGAGGTTACATTACATGTGCCAAGAGCCAGATTTGGTAACCAACAATCAATCTGTCAAGGCCCCTGCTTTTGATTGCCACCCGTTCTACATTGAACCCTACCCCCACAGCTCTCCCGGCAGGTTGTTACCCCTTTGGGCTATACCCTGCCCAGATAGCATGCGGATGTGGGCCACTTCGGGCAAATGTGTGGCATTGCTGGCCCGGTTCCGGCACCGGCAAACGGATGTATCGTAAAAGTGGCCCACTTGTGATTAGACAAATGTGGCCCAAATGTCACAAAACAGAGATGGACCACATGTTAAATACTTTATTAAAAAATTGTTATATGGCTTGCGGCTCCGGCCCGCTTCTGGCAAAGGTATACTGTACGCTGTAAAAAAAAAAATCAGTCAAAAAACGGAAAA